CTACTATATATCAGTTTTCATAAGGTAGTACTCATATAAAATACCAATTTTATTCTAACCTGATTATGTACAATAATGGATCATGTGTAATAAAGGTGAAAAATTCGACTGGAAAAATTGAAAATAAATACAATGGATCTTAAATATAAATTAGATACATGTTATAATAGATAATTCCATCGTAAAAAATCAACAAGGTTTTGCAGCAATTTTTAATATCAGCTTGTGAGTTTTCTTGTTAAAAAGTTGAATAATTTTAACACATTCAACATTATGAATAAAAAATAGTGAATTTTATACAGAGTTTTTTTCAAGACTTGGCATGAGCAAAACAAATTCACAGATTTGGCTGGGGAAAAAAAAACCTCCAGAATGATGTCAAAATCTGTGGAAATTTTTCATCCTTTAATAGTCAGTTGTGCTTAGTTAATTTTGCAAGCACAATCTTCAAGCAAGATGGCCTGAAGATAGAGTTTAAGGATGAAACAGACTGTCTCTGCTGGGTGTTGACCTCAATGTCCACTTTTATATTTACATATGCTCTATCCCTGATATTGAGCACTTTAACCCATAAATATAGCATACCTTAAAACTATATTTTTATCACACACACGCACACACACATCTGAGACCTGCCAAGTTTTTGGATTCCTTAGAGGGTGGAGATTCCCTTGTTTGTGACACCATGCTGATGAGGGGGAAAAATTTTCAGTTCTTATCCACCCAGATTACTCAAAACTGCCTTCCCTACAATTATTTTAAATATTTTTTCATAAAATGCAGGATGAAAATTTATGAAAAAATCTTTCAAGCAGTGGGGAGATGCTAACGAGAACCAAAGTGCATGAGTCTCTCCTGTCAAATGCGGCAGACTTGGTAGTGCTGATATGTATAAAAAAATGTGTCTGCATAACACTTTTCACAGATACAATTTTCTGATCATTGGCAAAAATGCTGATCCATAATTAAAAAAAATTCTGTCTGTTTTGATGGGTACTATGCTAGCAAATTAATGTTAATCATTCACTATTTACTTACTTTTTCTTTGCTAATTGAGCTGACAATATTCTATGAGTTTTCAGCATATTTTTGATGATTAATATAAATTTATAGACATTTGTCATTTTCTACTTTTAATTTGACAAGCTTAGCAATTACATTAATGCTCTGTACCTAATGGAGAATAAAATGTCACAAGGTTATTGTTTAAAATATATTAAAACTGTTTTTATTACTTCTAATGTTATAATCATAGACACTGTATTTGAAAATAGATACTCCATTTTTATTTTTACTTTAAACAGTGTTTATTAAGTCTGTTGATCTGTGCATTCAAGAAATCTTAGTAAAGAAAATGTGTTCTCTCTGGTAGGGGTTGAACCTGCATCCCCTTTTGAAGCAGGTTAAAAATAAATCCATTAATTCTTTTAAAAATATGAAAACAGTCTATTCTAGATTAGTTATAAGAAAAATTTTTTCCAAATTTTGGAAAGAAGTTGTACTTTAGTATATGAAATAGTAAATATTTTCAAACAACTTCGACTCAGAAAGAGACAGCTGAAATTTCTTGGATACAGAACGAGGAAGGAAAAAGGCACCTTGACGTGGTGTAATGGTTAGCAAGCTTGTCTCACTAGATCAATTACGATTGAATAGTGAGTGTGATACTCACTGGGTGCTTCATACTTTCAGTCTTGTGCCACATTGAAGCTATATATAGAAAATCAGCATGATGAGGAAGGAAAGCTTGGAGAATTTGATCCTCAAAGGACATATTGAGGGTAAGAGGGACTGGGGAAGGTAGAAAGCCACCTACTTGATGAGCTTGTATGAATGGATGGTGGAGCTTGTTGGGCAGGGTCACGGGAACAAGCAGTGCTAAGGGGTATAAGGTATATGAGGTTGGGGAGAGCTATGATTGACCATGGCCTGAGTATAGAAGAAGAAAGTAAACAGTTTTGTTAAAATTATTTGCAGAAATCTTACATTTCAAATATTTAGTTGAGGTTTATTTTTTAAATCTTGAATTTGATTCAACATACACAATTTTTATTTTTTTGTGTTTTTTTTTTTTAATCATTTCACACCAAGGAGAGCAATAAAGCCACTAAGATGCAAGGGTCTGAGTGTTAATATGAAAAAAGAACACAATTAAGAAAAGAGAACATTAAAAGAACAAGAATTAAGAGGACAGTAGATAATGATTGACATTGCATTTAAATTTTTGAAGAAGGAAGAAGCGAGTTCTACATGTAAGAAATGTGATAGAAGAAACTGCTAGCATAGAACTTATGGTTATATCTCGCCATTTCAACTGTAAAATGTGACCTTGCTGCCAATCTAGTACGGCACTTAAATTCATAAAGTTTAGGTACCATGAAGGTATTTATACAAATGCACAGGTGTAATACCAGGCCAGGACCAATAACATTGCAGATTTTTCTTTAGATTTTATCAAAAATCTCTAAAGATATAGCAGGAGCACCAGACTAGATGTGGAAGCAATATTCAAAGCATAGATGAATGGTAAACTTATCAATATGTAAAATAGATTTTTGTGAGAAAAATTGTCTAGCACAACACAGAGAGTCAACTCTTCTAGCAACAGACCTCACAATTAATTCAATATAAGATAGTAAGATATTCTGGTATAAAAAAACTGTATAGCATGACACAAGGAACCAAAATTATTATACTTGTAAATATTTGTTTTTTCTGAGAGAATTTAATTTGCTAACTTTTTTTTTTACTCTTTACATTTTGCTTCAAACTTCACAAAGACTGGTTTTTAACTCTTTGTTTTTCCAGAGGGAGGGAAAAAAGATGTCCTGCAGGAGAAGATAACTTTATGAAAGCCTGTGCATTTCACAATGGCTTCTGTTATTTCCAATCCTCATAGCTTTTATCTTGTTAACATATTTTGTGAAGATGAGTCATTCCAAAATGCTTAATGGTTTTCTTTGATTTTTCACCCTAGAACATTTTTAAAGAATACTGTTTTTTTTTTCTTTCATTTTTTGAGATTTTCTTGCAGTATTTTTAAATTAATACAACCAAAGTGAACTTGAATGGATGTATGCATGCAAACATACACATATACCCACCTCAACCACTTAAGAGCTAATGATGAACTCATACCCAGTACATGTACCTGTGAAAAATACTGTTTTGTATATTATAAGTCAAGACCAAGATTTCCTTGACATAAGTAGTTTATGCAGTATTACTTACTTTACTTTTACCCAACATTTGATCTTTGTTTTTGTATTTTCTACCAGTTGTTGTTTATAATTTTCAAACCTTGCTTTATTTCAACCAATTTTCCCATTTGTAAAATATTGTAAATGTATAATACTCTTATGGATACCTTCACATTTGAGTTAAACATTGACAGAAGAAACCATTTCATCTTGAAATGACAAGAGACCAAAACCATTTTCTTTGTTATATAATTGTTCTTTCTTTAACATCATTGCATTTGTTTTTGTTGTTTTTTATTTATTAAAAATCAGTTTTTATGAATATGTAAGTATTTTGGTACAGTGTTGTAAGAATTTTCAATCTTTAAATGAATCCAGATTGACTATAGAAAATGATAGTTCTATAAATACTATTATCAATTCAATTCATGTGTTAACAAGTGGAAATTGTTGCATAATTACAGCTTATTCATTTGGGAAAAAATCAACAAGAATTAGCATTATCAAATGCATTTATCTGAAAAGAATGTAGTCTTAAAATATTAAGGCTTTAAAATAAAATTAATTATTTTTGTTTAACTTAGTCTCATTTTTTAAAATATTTCTTCCTGATGCATATCTAAGCCTCTCATTTCTTATCTTATGAATCTGCGAACTGTGAGTGGCCAGATACAAAGTGATAACCATCAACTTTAAATGCTTAGCTTGTAGAGATTTGGGAGGGGGGAAGACAGAGCAATCTTCTCTTGCTTTAATTTTTTCCTACCCTTGGGAGTTGTATAAATAAAATACACACACAGGGAATCGGTAATTCTAATGACAAATCATTTAATTTAAACAACAAATATAGTCAACATAATCTTTGTTTATTGATGTACATAATCCAGTAGTGAATATTAGTCATAGACTGAATATTATACAAGGAAAATTTCATCTTAAAATTCAATTAATAAATGTGTGTTAGCTTACAAACTAACAAAAACAAAACACACACACACACACATATATATATATATATATATATATATATATATATATATATATATATATGTAACAAGCTTGCTAATCCATGTGTTAGATATTTTTTTTTTAATAATTTTATCCCAAGTAAAGTGATAATACCACTAAGATGCAAGGGGTTCCAAGGTGTGAAAGAGAATGAGAAAATTTTAGAAGGAACTGGAAACCCAATCCTAAACAGGAAACAAGAGATAAACCTCTACATCTGTTCAAAGGATGGGAAGGAGTGTAAAGTTGTTATGCCTTTTTAAGGCAATATTTATAGATATTGCTCTATGAACTATCTATTGAGCACTTTCTAAAATCTACTGGAATTTGTTCATTTTAGGGTAGACTTTATCCTGTTGTTGATTTATACAGAAGGAAATTATATAAACCTGTATCGTTGAAATTTCATCATCTAAGTGTTAGTTATGAAAAGAATAATGCAAACCCAACATTGCATTTGCTATTCCTCCTTAAGGCAATTTTGATTATTATCTGACTTCTTATCTGATAATCATATCATGTGATTTGACTACTACACTGGAATTTGTCATTTTCTTTTAATGATGCTTACTGCTAAATTCAAGGAAGTGAGGAAGCGCCATGGTAATTTTTAATTTATGTTAAATCTACTGCATTTTTGCCAAATATGCCTTGGCAGAATATTACACCTGACTATTGAGTATTGTTGAAACTCTTTATATAATGTTTGTGATTATTATATATTTCTTTTTATCTTGTTGTGATTTGTTTATTGGTGTTGTGTTTGTTGTATTCTTTTCTTTATGTTAATAGTTGGTCCTTTTCTGAATGTAGCACCCGAGAAGGCGATTGCTCGCTTCTCCTATCATGCTGAGAATGAAGATGAGCTGAGCCTGAAGGAAGGAGACATAATCACTGTCATTGAGAAAGAACTAGAAGATGTTGGCTGGTGGAAAGGTGAAATTAATGGAAGGATTGGCGTATTTCCTGACAACTTTGTGGAGTTGATACCATCCCAGGAAGAGGTGAGTAAGAAACTCTCTCTCTCTTTATCAAGACACTTGGTTTCTCTCTGTTTACATGACATGAGCCACCCGAATGCCTCTGCTTTCTTGCAAGATATTCTACCTTTTTTGTAATCTCAGTTGAAATACAAGCTGATTTGCCTTTAAGTTTACAGTTAGATGCAAAATAATGACTAGTGATGAGACATGTTAATTAAAATATGTTATTGCCTGATTAATGTTAAAAATGGTGGGAAAACATTTTTACCTATACATTGTCAAACAAATTTTGCAAGACTGAATTGTTTTTTTAATTAAAGTAACTATTATTTACAGACAGACACACACACACACACACACATATATATATATATATATATATATATATATATATATATATATAAGCATCAAGAATTCTTTCATACAAGTTTAAACAATACCAACAAGGTCTGTCTTCAAAATTTTATTTTGTTTTTCTAATTTCTAAGTTGTTTTTATGCCAGAATTAACTTTCCAAAGGTTCTTTTATTGTATCCATCCTTATATTTTATCCATATTTATACATACATATGTACATACACATATATATATATAAATACTCAGAAAATCATGTGACAATTAATCCTCCACCACTCAAGCAAAATTGTGCAACCACACGTTTCATCTGTCTAAAAGTTTGTAAAACACCTGAGAGGCTTGGGAGACACATGCATTGTTATACAATTGTTATAATTGCTGACATCAGCATTCTTTATTATACTCTGTTAAGAACAGTTAAATTTTTAACTTTTAGTAGTATATGTTGTCTTTGACTTTATAAGCATTATATTAAATGAAGTATTCTTATTTTGTTAATGCTGAAATTTTGACATAGCTGATTGTTTTGAAAATTTCTCCCCATATATAAAGAAAAAAATGCCTCTTAATTGAATAAAATATGATTAACTTTCTTGTTTCCTCTTAGGTAATTATTAGTAATGTTTTAGTTTTCCTCTCTGCTTTGTGATTCATACTCTTCAACCAAAACCCAAATGTTGTATAAGTTGCATTTAAAGTGCTTTTTGTATAAGTGAGTAATAAAAGTTTTTTTCTTGTATGCATATGGCTGCATATCATGTACTAGCAAGTTCTTTTTCAGTAATTTTTCCACTATTTACAGGTGAAAAAGTTAAAGAACAGATACCTGGTTTGTAATTAAATAATTCTCCTTTAATTTAATTCAATAACTTTCCATCACATATATTTACTACTACTAATAATATAGTAAGTACCACCACAGAAAATATGATACCTAAGGTTTGAAAATTAATTTTTTAAAATGAAAAATCTTTTTTGAAACTTTTATTTCAGTTTTAATTTTAAGTTAATAGATATGATTTAATATTGCCAACAAACAAAAAAATACTTTGTTGTATTTCAAAAACTAGTTCAAATTGACTGGAAGGAGATTTAAAAAAAATTCTTTTTCTAAAATAGCTGATTAGCACCCTTTTTTTAAGTTGTCTTTCATCTCTTTATTAAAAAAAAAATCTTCCAAAAATAAAATATACTTTTCTGAAACTTTATTTGAGCAATATTAGCTGATTTAAAGTATAGTTAATCTGATTTGAAAGAAATATTATTTCTTTTGAGTTTCAAATAGCACAGAAATGCATTTTTTAACACAGTGGTAGCTGTTCATTTAAGCTCTTGACATGTTTGACAGTGTGATGACAGATTGATGTTTAACTTATGTTCTATGGAGGCTTTAGTCATAAAAAATAATTGAAAATAACATGAACACCTTTTATATATAATTTTTAAGTACTCAATAATATTAAAAATTTAAGAAAATATTTGCTGCTATTTAATGTTTTATTGAATTTTAAATGCATTCTGGCTTTAAATTTGCTATATTTATTGCTCTTATTTTCTGATAATATCACCATAAAAAAAATAGGCATGTTTATAGATGGGTCACCATAAAAATAGGTATGTTTATCCACATACAAAAAAATTCAAAATACTTTTAAAAATATTGGTGTTTGCTGATTTGTACTAAGCTTTTCCATTTACAATTACTAAATATAATTTTTACTTAATAATAATACCATCTAAAAGGGTGAAATTAATACAGAATTTTAAAAGATTTAAAACTTAATAAATTATTCTAATTAAAATTAAAAAAAAAAATGAAAACAATTCTTGTAAAAATTCATTATTCATTGAAAAAATTTTTTTCAAGACAATGGTGACCTTAATATATCTTATTTATAAAAACAAAAGTTTTTCTAATTAAATAATGTCATAATATTATTGCATTTTTTATTTTAGAATTTAGAGCAGATTTTTGGTAAATGGTGTTTCTGTTTAACAAAAACAAATTGATGATTTAAATTCTCCAAGGAGTACTGTAACTAATATAAATATGAAGAGAGTGGAATTTTAATTTTTTGAAATTTCATAAAATTAAGTGGGGATAACATGTAAAAAAATAAATAGTTTTACCAAGATGTTCTAAAAAGAAAAAAATTCAAAAATAGTTTCATGCATTTGTAAATAAGTTTCCATCATTGTATCTCTAATTGTAATGACAATTTTGAAAGGCATAGCCTTTCATTGAAGAGTTACTGAGAGAGGTGTAAAAAAAAGAAAAAGAAAAAAATCTTCCATTTATTGTGTGAACAAATTGTCTGTATAATACGCTTTGTATTAAAATGAAAAAAAAAAATCCTTTTGATTTTTATACTAAGTAATCCTGCCTTAACTGTATTTTGTCCTTTGCAGATTTTCCTTGACCATTTGCTTGAGAACCTTTAGTATTTGATAACTGTAATAGAATTCTCAGATGATCATAATTTAACATTGCGTGGCTTTGGTTGAAAAATATATTCTAAGCTTCTTCCTTCACATGAATGTATGTATGTATGTGTGTGTGTGTGTGTGATATATATATATATATATATATATATATATATATATATATATATATATATATGTGTGTCTTGTACAGATAAAAACATTGAAGTCAATACTCAGAGGCAACAGGCTGTTTTTATGCTAAATGCAATGATGTTTAGCATGAAACAACATGTCACCTCTAAGTGTTGACTTCAATGTTCACTTTTATATTTACATATGCTCTATCTCTGATATTGAGCATTTTATTTCATAAATATAGCATACCTTAAAATAATATATATATATATATATATATATATATATATATATATATATATTTCTGAGATGAGGTATTGTAATTATTTACACTATTTACATTGTTTGGACTGTTGTCCTCATCTTTATTGCCTTTTCTAATTGCCTCCATATTTTCGGTATATCGGGTCCGTACCGATCCTTCAATATCTGCCTATATTTCTGAGATGAGGTATTGTAATTATTTATACTATTTACATTCTTTGGACTGTTGTCCTCACCTTTGTTGCCATATTCACAATGTTCCTCTTCTGGATGTCTCAGCATCCTATCTTTAACTCAACTCACCAAGTTTTTTTTGTTCATCTCAGCACAACACTTTGGATTCAACCAACACTTTTATCCACTGGCCTATGAGTCCTTGAAACCTAATGTCTCAGTAAAAAATTTTTTACTGGAGCTCATATAGCAATTTTGTTATTATTGTTTTCTTTAGCACTCCATATTACTAGTTCCCATGTTGTATTATTTTCTATGCTTGTCTGGGTTGGGAGATTTTTGTGGCCTAGCATGTGTGCTGTTTCCTTAAGTTTTCATATTTTCCAGTGATGTTCTCTATTATTTCAACCTCAAACCAAAGGGTGTAATGATTGCTCTTTTTTCCTCAATATGTGATTATCCAGGCCTGATTTCTCTATATCCCCTAGTGTTATGCTTTTATGGTGTACTTGCAGTTTCTCTTAAGAGGATGGCCTGTTTCTCTTTTATATTTATTAGTACAGCTGCATGGGATGGCATAAACACAGCCCTTAATCATGTTACCCTCTATGGAAGGTCTTTATAAGAGTTGTCTGCGAAGTGATGAATCAATTTTGAAAGTTGTCCTGATGTTATAAAACGTATATGTATATATATTTAAAATGTATGTATGTATGTATGTGTGTACACACACACACACACATATATATATATATATATATATATATATATATATATATATATATATATATATATAAAAGGTGTTTCATTAAGGTGGATCAAAGTCAGCAGTAAATAAAACAGTTTTATTGGTAAAATTTATTTATTTCTCTATTGGATCATGTTATTTAAGTCATGGCAACTATGTATGAAAAATAATATCGCCCAAATATCTGCCAAGGCTTTGGCATCACACCTGCACTCAGTGGTCAAAATTTTTGATGATGTCTCTGCCTAGTAGCTCCTTGATCTCACCAGTATGCCTTATTATCCCATTCTTCAGCTGTTGAATTGTTGTTGGCATAGACCTTACTTTTGGGATGACCACAAAGAAAGAAATCTAAAGGTGTCAAGCCGTACGATTGTGGTGGTCAATTGACTTCGCTGTACAGAGGGATTATGCAACCTGGGAACTTCTCATTGCATTACTGTTTGAATATCCATTTTCATAATAGGCTTTGATAACTTTAACATGTTGTTTGATTGTTAATCTTTCCATAGTTGAAAATGCCTAAGATTAAAGTTGTTAAATCTGAAAGAAAAAAATCATTAGATGCTTAAACTTAAATCACCTTTAAAATTGGTCTAAGTTATTGGAACACCCTTCATACACTCACATATAAATATATATATATATATATATATATATATATAAATATACTAGCAAAATGATATCCTGTTAGTTTTGCATAGAAGTTGCAATAATAATGATCACAGAATAGCAGACAAAGGTTGTAAATTTGTGATGCGGTTCTATGATGCTATCCCACATGAGAGAATGAAATATTAACAATAGAACCATATATGTAGATTCAATGTAATGTGACTAATTTGAAATGTAATTTTGTTGAGTGTGGGTTGCTTTGTTTTAATGTATATGGCCTCTAAACCTAACAGGGTATCATTTT